GCAGTTTATGGCTTTCCACGTTGTTAGACAAATCTATATATTTGGTTGCAGCAATGCCCTAAGCCTTTCACTGCATTTCCCCTTCCTTTTTAAAAATGGCTGAAAACTGCACATTCCCCAGTCTAATGCTGCAACAATTTGTGCTTGAGAAAGACAGAGAGAATGCATATCCTCTTGGGGAAACGACAAAGCATTGCACTTGAGCATAGGCTCTGTCCTTCCACCACTTGACTCAGAAAGCCAATATGGCCAGCTCCAGTATTTATAGATCAAGGCACCCTTGATGCTTTGCTCGTCAGCAGTTGCTGTAATTATTTAGGACCTAGGATGTTTCCACTCCATCATGAGTGTTTTCAGGTCTGGCCACTTACATTTAATTAAATTATCTAAAATATTTACACACTGATTCCCTACTCTAGCCAGCTCTTAGAGATGATTAATATTGATGATTCTTGGAAGAACTCCAACAGAGTTCTTTGTATGAGTCTAAGCAAAGGAAGTACTCTTGCCCAGAGACTTTCATCCAAATTTTCTTTTACGGGCAGTGGAATTGCAGACCTTGTTGGAAAACATCTGCCAGATGGGAACAGTGGGCAGGAAATGAGAGGAATTGTTTGCCTTTTGCTCCAATTGTTTTTCATGGATTTTCTAGAAAGTGTAGTAAATTTGATAAAATATACTTTAAGAAACACATCTGAAATCAGGGAAGAGGGAAGCACATCTTCTCTTTGGATGGGAATCCATATTCCTTCTCTTTTAGGTTGTGCCTCTCCTCCTTTCCCCATAAGCACTTCCTGGGAGAAAGCTCAGTCGGTGCTCAATTCTGTCCACTTTCACCCCAAGGCGAGGTGCTCATCTGTATGCTGCCATCATATCCCAAAATTCACCAGGAAATGTTAAAGTCAAAGAGTCCGAAGTGGGATGCCTGGAAACATAACTTCCTGCTTCAAATTCATTTTTTGTGTTTCATATTGATACAAGGCAAATAAACTAATTCTAGAAGTGATGCTGATAAAAGCAAGAAATCGATCCATTCAATGCTAAAAGAATATTATATTTCATGTTAAGACCTTTTTAAAGAACCCAGCATGTCATCAGTATTCAAAATTCTTCTGCCCTGTGAGGCCTGCATTCGTATTAGTCCCATTATGCAGGGGGAGACGTTGAGTCTCAGAGCCAATTAGTGGCCTAAGGAGCACCTCAAGTGTTTGCAGCTAAGAAAACATTTGAGCCACCAAACTGCCAGATCATAGATTTGTTCCCTAAGGATAAAATTGCATGTTGCAAAGCTTGGGTGTTCCGTACTGAGCACCAGGGGAGAGATTTTTTCTCAGTTCCCCATTTGATGGTATCACTGTGTTTACCCCCAGCTGCCACTGCTGCTATAAGTGGCACCACAGTAATAATCAGCCTCGTCTTCTGCAAAGGCTCCAGCAATATTTAAATACCAGGTGTTTCTGGATGTATCTTTGGAATCAGAGAAACGAGAGGGGACCCCTAAGCCCTGGCCCTTGTCAGAATCTGTGTAGTAATGTAAGAGGAATCGTGGGGAATTCGTAGACTTCTGTTGGTACCAGGCGACACGGTAGTTTCCAATGCTGTACCCACTGCCCAAGACACAGGGGAGTTTTGTTGAGGTCCCTGGTGACACAGATGTTGATGGAGGCTGAGACAGAACAGGCTGGGAACTGGAACCTGCCCAAAAAGTAATGCAGAAATTGTCAGACATGCTTTGCTCATCAGCTGCACTCACCTTAGCAATCAACTTAATAGGTATTTGACCCACTCTCACCTGAGCACCACATCCCTACCAGACTGAGGATAGGCAGCCAGAACATGATGAATTGATTTGATGATCCAATGAGGAAAGGAAACAGGTAACTCTAGAAGTCCTTACACAGGTAAGACTCGAAGTCCTTTTATCTGTGTCCTATTTGCATCTCTGCTCCACCTCCTTATTAATAATCTCTGTTCCAGTTGGCTATAATGTTAAACTGGGTACTTACAGGCAGCCTGCAGTTCCTTGGGTGAATAGTTCATTAACCAGACTACAAAGGAGCTCTGTTTTTGAGGATGGACAGAGTATAGTTGGGTTGGAAAGTTTTTCTTTTATACTTTATTAAGGCTGGGCTGTGGAGGGGGGATATGATGGGCATCAAACGCACATGAGTGGTTTGTAAATCAATCAAAGTAAACTGAATCTGCTGAGTTTCATAGAGCTGTGTAGCTGAATGACTTTTGCGACCAAGATGTAGGCTAAAAAAGCCCACATTTTTGCCACTTTGGTGGTGGGAGTAGGTGTTTGTCAGGAGATTCCCCTCCCCCCCATTTGTGTCACTGTGAGCAGAGCTGCCATTCCTCACCTGGCTGTAATAACTGGCCTCATCCTGTGATTGAGCCCTGACAATGCTTGACCAGGCTCTGTTACCAGAGATGGAACCAGAGAATCATTCTGAGACTCCTGAAGGTCTGCTGGAGTTATCAACATATATAATGTTGACCAGCTCATTGCCAGGTTCCTTCTGGTACCTGTAAACATCGAGGTCCCCAGTGCTACTCTACTAAAAAGTGACTGGACCATTCCACTCCCCACCCCATCCCCACCCCCTGAGACACAGACACGGCTGATAGTTGATTCAGCACATGCTGGGCAACAGAACCCAGATAGGCAAATAGGACAGAGGGAGAATTAGAAATCTCACAACAAATAAAATTATTATCTGTGTGATCATGGTCTGGTGATAGTATGTAGAATATGAAACTTCCTTTTGTTGAACCTGATGAAGCAATCATGGATCATGAGGAGGAATGAAGCCCAGAACGTGATGGCAAAGATCAGGGGTCATTTCATAGAAAAAGAGCTAGGGGAACTCATTAGCATAAGTCATTAGCATATGCCACACCCCCTGACACCACCGGAAGTGTGTCATAAGGCCACACCCCCTGACATCACCGGAAATGTGTCATAAGGCCACACACCCCGCCCCCAACGGTCCCGGCCGCCACCGCTGGCCTTGCAGCTCCACTGCTGAGCCCCATGAGGGGCCCGACGGTGGACCTGCAAGGCCGGCGGGGGGGCGAGGAAGCCCCGCGACGGCCCC